GTCGCTGAAAAGCGGCAGATTTTCCAGCGGACTGGCCACGCAACCGTGGAACGTCTGGAGGTGAAGAGGCGAGTCGATTTGAGCTCTGGTGAGCCAGTTTTTTTCTACACATCGCATCGTCTTGAAGAGAGAGCCTCTCGAAAGAGGAATCCGTGAACGACGTGCGCGATGTTTCCATAAAGTTAGCGATGTCGCGTTTCGGGGAATAAATCCCTGGCTGAGCGTAAGGTAAATTGTTCGAGCCGCGAAGATTGGTAGAATGAGCGAGCGCGTGCGATGGCTGAAAAAAGCATGGAATAAAAATGAGAAATGGAAGTGGCGGATTGATAGACGCGGAGGGATAGAAAGTGGCGCTAAAAGGAGAAGACAACGAGGATGAAAGAACGAAGAGGAAAGAGATAAGAAACGCGCGGCACGTTGAGAGGTCTAACTTCGAAGATACGTACTGCTTCGCGGGTTTAAAAATTGAATTGAAACTCCTTCAGCGCGGGATGTTACGTAGTTGCTGTTTGAGTTTTATTTTCGACACGAATGATTCTGTTGGATTCGTGGTACAAGGTAGATCGAATGAATTTATAAAAGAAGTTGGTGAATGGAGAAACACGAGCGTAACAACATCGATGTAGAAGAAGTTGTGCGGGGTTGTGAAAGTGTCGGCAGCTTTTTTGTGTAGCGTACATGTGTATATTTACGAAGATCGTTGAAAGTATGGCAAGTGGGAGAAAAACGGCATACATCACCACGTCTAGAAGAACATCGTTCTAGACACACACTAATCAAACGTTCTTTCCTTCTCTTAGCTCGCATTACTGTTCTACCCGTGAATGTCTCAACGTTTCCTTTTTAACGCACTCTACTAAGGGAATGGACGAGGGAAGAATGAAAAACACAAGAGAAATGGATAAAAAAGGAGTGCGCGGCTAGAAAAAAGTGAAAGAAACGGCTGGAAAATTAAAAGAACGACGTCGGATAAGTCTCTGTGGCTGGGAGGGTGACGACGGGGAGCAAGACAGAAAGGGAAATAGATCGATAAAGAGGAAAGAACAAGGGAAAAGGTGGTGCGAGACAAAGATAACTATAGATCGTCTACGGAGAAAAGTTCCGTAATTTACTAAATGCCAGTCTACCGCACCATGCAAATTCCTTGACGTCGGAAACTTAACCGAGATTCGAAAACTTACTTCCGACGATGAAGGTTAATCTCGACGGGCCGCGTCGGAGGAAACGGGACGAAAGAGCTTACATATTCGGGACACCCGCTCTAAATTTCCCCGGCGAGCAGAGCAGGCCGTCCCTTCTGTCGTCGATTATTCGAAATTACGAATTCTGATCGAACGGTCTCCGCCGTATCTGGAAAGTTAATGTCTTCACGGTTACATTTTGTCGCGTGGCAGCCAAAAAGGTCGAAGAAGTCAAGTTGACCTGCCACCGAGAAACGGTACGAGAGTAAACGTTGGCTTCGAATTCATTTTTGCCGAAAACAGTCGCGGTCCTGATGTCAGACAAGGTCCCCTTATGTTCGGTCGCTCGTTCGATTCTCGCGTGTTTCACCGTGATCCAAGCGAATTCGCATATTATCGTGTAATCATCCGACGTGGTGAAAAATTACGCGAAGCGCGCTCCGAGACGCACGCTCAAACGAACAATTTCGCAAATAACCGATAATTTAAAGCAAACGATCACTGACTCTATCGCGTTGTTCGCGCGTAATATTTCTTCTCATTTAGTCAACAGCCAGCGTCCTTTTTCTTGCCTTTTTTCTTTTGCGTAGTTCGTACACGCTGGAAAGAACGCGTCGTGTCGCTGCACGAAATATTATATCAAACGGGAAAGTTTTACATAGTCGGCAGCGTACACCGGGATCTGTATTCGTTTGAACGTGAATCATTGCATAGGCACAAAAAACGTGGAGTTAATCAACTATGCGGACGATAAGAATAAACCGTATAAAAGGCCGAGTGTCTTTTCTCGCCGAATAATTATAGCACACGGGCGTGGTGGATGAAAGAAGCGTAAAAATTTCAGCGGGCTACAAAAGATTGTGGAAAAGCGCAAGACGAACGGGATGAGAGTAGGGAAAAACGAAGGAAAAAAAGAACCAAGGAAAAAGATAAAAGAACGAAGGGGTGTTCGGGCAACGACAATGAAAGTGAGAAAGGAACGGGGTTGGTCGGCTCTTTTTTCGCAGGCCCTAATGGGTCCCACGTTCCTGTCAGCCGGATTAACATCAACCGTGGGCACCTGTAACGTTTGCCACGCTAGCCCGCGGTAGATGTTTATCTCCGAGTAAACGAAGTTTGTCGAAGGGCCGGAGATTCGGAGGAGTTAAACAAACCTGGGTATATAGAATTAACTCGGTGGCAAAGAATAATTTCCAAGGGGGAGAAAATTTCCGGAAGAAACAGGCAGAAGCGAGTGTACGAAGTAAAAGTTGGGTGATTAAATTTTCATTGTATTCGTTTAAGCTGTCGCGATGAAGGCATCTAAAATGAAGTTGATGACGAACAATTAAAACACTTCTGCGTTTCACGATGCAACGCGGTGGAATGTAATACACCGTTGCATATTTCATTCTCGCGGGAATACGCGACGGCGTTTCTTTAGGAAAGACATTTTTAAAATATGTTTCGTCGAGCAAAGGGCAGGAAGATGGAGGTGCTGGTGCTAGGGGCAGGAGAAAAAAAAAGGAAGAGGAAGAAACGAAAGTACTTCTTTTACGAGAAAATATGTAGCATTTCGGTCTACCGGGAATAAGGTTAACGTCGTAAAGGACACACAATTTGTCCGCGACAAAAAAGAAAGTCGGGGCTTACAGGAGAAAAACCGGCAACGGAGAAACGCTCAAAATGCTGAACTCGAAGTAATGTTTGTCATAATTAAGCCGGGGACTAAATAAACCACCCGACCGAGCGGCGGAATGATCAGTCTACGCTGGCGAGGTCTCTCCGCGTTTGTTTTTGAGAAAAAACAGTCGGTGCAATCCAACTTGCACGGATAATGCACAATGAAGAGAGTCGACGCGAGAGCAGTAGCGGAGAAAGAATTGAAAGAAAAAGAAAAGAAGAAATATCGTAGAGAAGAGAGCGGCGAATAGGAGGAAAGAAAAGAAGAATCGAATAAGAGACTGAGCGTAATTGAAGATAGAAAGAATAGAGAACAGAGTCTGACTTTTATTAGAACGAAATTAATTCGAAATCCTCTCGTTGGGCCGAAAGACCGGTCATTAATCACGATCGACCTTAAACGTATGTACCCTCGAATTCTAGCCGATGAAGATCAATTAATTTCGCCGGCGAGGTATCTCTAATACCGTGGGCCGATCCGGTTTTCCCAATTGAATAAGATTAACGCGGCAAGAAGCTGGAGATCGGTATGGGCGGAGGAGCGAGAACTCGGAACAACGCGAGCCGAGCTACCAGAGAAAAATGCAATAATCCTAAGCGACCCGAAAACGACGGAGAGAGATAACAACGGCGAAACTAATGGTAATCACAGGGAGTCGAAGAGAAACGGAAGAAAAGAAGAAACGACAGCTCGACCGTGGGCGAAAAATAGGGCGAAAGAATTCTAAGGAGGATTCATTGTGCTTTTCATGGACGCCGTCTACCAGTTAATCTTCACCGGCGACAAAAAAAGAAATAGACGCGGCAAGCCGCGCGATATTTTCGATGAGATAAAATTCCATTGAATAAGAGGCAGGCTGACCGGCCGCAATTCCGCGGATCGTTTTCTCCAGTTGCTCCCTACTAAAGATGATACAAAGCGTGGAGAACTCATTGAGGATAAAACGACGCTAAGAAACTATGAACTTCCGCGGGAGGCTGATGCCACGTTAAAAAGGAACGAGAGGAAGCTACATGGAAACGGAGGTGGTATTAAAAGCGTCAGGGAACAGTAATCAGCCGGCTAAATTAAGAATCGTAAACACCGAAAGAGACCAGGCAAGCCAAAGCGAAAGCTGATTAAAAGACTGTCGTAGAGGACCAAGCAGGCCGAGTCGCTTCCAATCGGTCAGAATTTGTTTAAACTCGAAGCCGCTGACTAACGAAACCGCTCCTGGTCAATCGACGAACCGCAAATTTACAAATCTCCCCGAGACTTCGTAAAAGAAAGCCAACAAAAACTTTTCGGAGCCTGTTATTTTCAAGCTGGGTAATCCTGATCGGTCGAGCCGAGACGAGAATACGAAGGTTAACATTGTAAGAAGCGTAAAATTTGTTCAAAGGATGCACGAAAGACGTCGTAAAGGTTGGAAAGAGGAAGAAGCGTGGAAGATGACGAAGCAACGGGACAGCAACAGAAGTAGCAGAAGCAGCAAAAGCAGCAGTAGCAGGAGCCAGTGGTAGTAGTACGGTGAGCAGCAGTAGCACTGTCGGTGGCAGTAGTGACGATGACACAACGGGAATAGCGAGGAGG